GGCGGGGCGCGGGGGCGGGATTTCGGGGGCTGAACCTGCCCATCAAACTTCCAAGTTTATTTGCATTTCTATTTCATGATCTCGCTGTGCACAAATTGCACAACCAAAAACGAAAAACTAATATCTCAGGTAACAAAACCATAAGAGAATAACGATAAGATAGGAGATGGCACATGACAGAGTGAAAGGCATTAACTTCACACATTCATGTAAAACAATTGTGCTGCACATCTCAAACAAGAAATTTATTCAAAGTCTGAAGGCTAAGTACCCACAGCTTAAAATTAAGACATGGGTGACAAACAGAATACTTCTGATGCTGTCCATAACACAATGGCAGAGGCAGGGGAATAGGACATATTCATTCTTCCACAACAACACTGATCTCACCCTTTTCCAGCAAGTCATAAAACGATCTCACTTTCCTCTGCTCGTTCCAGTGATGCATTTTCAAAAGACCACCAGCAGCCAAGCCAAGTGCAAATCCAATGCAAATCTCCCTGACAACACTAGGTCCTTTCAAGGTCGCATGAGCAAGCCTACCACCAGCCATTTCACTTTGCTAGTAATCTGCGAGCGACATTTTCTCTGTTCTTAGCACCCAAAGAAAAATTAACGAAAAGTATAAAAATGTACTATTGCAATAAGCCAATCAGTCTCTCTCTCTCTCTCTCTCTGTTGTGTGTGCGTGGGTTTTGGTTGGGGGGTGGGGGGGGGGGGGGGAGCGCTCCTAGAGATGCATATCTACTAGCATAGACCAAAACCACTCCATTGCACCTTCCCAAAAGAATAAGCATAATTGGCAACTTCTAGAAGACAACATCTGATACCGGACTCCTTTTAACGAGTGAAAAATATAGAGAAAAAAGGGAACAAAACAATGGACAACAAAAATAAGTAATGCAACTTGTAAACAAGATTCCTAAATTACACAATTCAATCAAGCAACAGATATCTACCCTGTAACAGATATAAGGCCAAGAGAGGGACTAAGAGAACAAAAGGGAGATTGATTCGAATTACATTGCAAAATTTGATGCAGACACTTAAACAAATCTAATGGTTATAACTATAAAACATCCAGCCAACTGACAAAGAGCTGAAGCAGTTAGTGTGTAAACTATAAGAAATTATAATTCTTCTACTCATGCTTGTTTTTAATTCATAATCCAATCACTCATTTCAAGTTTAACCCATCATTGAACAAGTTGCAAACAGTCAGCTTTTAATTTCTCGTAGACATAAGAGGATTTTCAAAAGTGAAAAAAACCCTCGTCTATTTCATTACTTTCCAGTAAGTGTATTCACACGCATCTATTAGTTTTGCATAATTATTAATCAAAATCACGATTAAATAATTAATATCAAAATAGAAATCTGTAAACAACATCCCGATTGCGAAAATTGTAAAATTGGATTTCTTTTCTTTTTTGCAAGTGCAAGATTGAATTAAAAGAAGCAGATAAAGCGAAACTAAAAGAAACTTGAACATTAAGAACAAATCGCGTGAAATTAAAAAATAGATAGATAGATAGATCGAGACCTAAATAAAATGACAGGGTGACTAATAAAGAGAAAGAGTTCGATCCAAGGTAGATCGGGAGGGAGGGAGGGAGGGATGGAGAGACTAGGTTTTGCTGACCTTAATTGAACTGCGCTGAGAAGCTTATTACGGAGGTTCTAGAGAAATGAGAGGCGATAACCTGCGTGAATTTTACCTTTCGTGTCTTCTCTGACGCCGAGGGCGCTTGTTTGTGAGGCTATTTGTATCAGAAACCGGGGCTAGGAATAACGTTAATTGGAGGACTGCATGGGCCCATTTGGGATGTATAACTGGGCCGTTTCTGGGCTTCTGGATTTAAAATGATTCGAGATATGGAATGAACGATAAACATTTGGTTAAAATGCATAAAATTTTTATAAGTTATATTTTAAAGTATTTTTTATTTAAAAATATATTAATTAATATTTTTTATTTTTTAAAAAATATTTTTAATATTATAGAATTAAAATAATATAAAAATATTAAAAATATTAATTAAAAATTAAAAATTAATTTTTTTAAAAATACTTTTGAAATGGAAAAATAAATAGCCATATTTGTTTTTATGGTGTTATATGTTTTTTTTTTTTAATTTTAATTTAAAATCAATTTATTATATTAATATTAAAAATATATTTTAAAAAATAAAAATATTATTTTAATATATTTTTAAACAAAATACTGTACCAGTATCTTGTATCAGAGAATGTTCCCGGTCCTGCAATAAGTCCTCGACTCTTCCATTTGAAGTCTCTGCTAAAGCACCAGCCGCTATGGACGCAAGCCATGTTTGGAATTGTTATCTTGTGAGGTAAAAATTGCTGGTATGTGGTAAAATTAGTGTTCTAAATTATTTTCCTTTTGTATACTAAAACCAGATCAATGTTTAATTAGCTTTTAAATAAATCATTCGTGCTGGGTTAATATATTCACAGAGTTTGCTTTTGAACTGTTAAGAACATATCTTGAACCACACCTCAAATATTAATTGACATAGGAAAAATTGTCATGAATGTCCTGTAATTTAATCATTTTATTTTTATTTCTTAGAAAATTATAGTTTATATCCTAGATTAATTTAATTTTTAAATTTAAATACAAAATAAATATTTCTTTTAGTAATAAAGATATTCTCATACCAATTTTCATATAATTTTCACCCAATAAAACCATTTCATCTACGTTTAAATAAGCTATTAATAAATATTATATTTTAATACCTCTCAGCAAAGAAACACGCATTTATAAATCCATGATGATAAAATAATGATGTACTTTCTCTAATATTATTTATTCTTTGTTAATAATAATAAAAAAAATTCATTATTGGTTCAGTCTACTCCACCCAATAAAGTCCAAAATCACTCACTGTATGTTCCTTTATTATATTGACAGCACGCCAATCCTACTCAATAAATTGTCTTTTATTTCCACGGCTTTACTTCTCTCTCTTTTTTCCTCGACGACAAACCGGGAACATCCCGCGTAAAATATAATAGGATGAAGGCAATTTTCTTAAGACAAAAAAACCAAAGTATTTGTTGGAAAAAAAACAGACTAAAAAAACCAAAGTATTTGTTGGAAAAAAAACAGACTAAAAAAACCAAAGTATTTGTTGGAAAAAAAACAGACTAAAAAAACCAAAGTATTTGTTGGAAAAAAAACAGACTAAAAAAACCAAAGTATTTGTTGGAAAAAATAAATTTGCAATCTATTATTGAATTTTTTATAGTAGTTTTTTCCTTTAAAAAATTTATAACTCATTAAATAAACTTATAAATCAACCTAAATAAGCAAGAAAATCGAAAAATAAAAGAAAAATAACAAAAACCATAAAAAATGAAAAAACAATAATTTTTAAACACATTATTTAATTTTCTAAACTATATAGAAAAGGAAAAAATAATTTTTTTAAAAAACCTCCCATACTAATCTCGTTAGGTTAAAAAAAACTCCTTCTTAAATTTAAATTACTCATTTCTAGACTAAGTAAATGTAATCAAGACTCTCCGATCCTTTTTATTTTTTTTGTTTCAGGCGTGTAGCTATTTTTTACATTAGCTTCAATTTTTTTATCTTAAAATTTATTTGAAAAACAACAATTAGTAAATTATTTTACTTTTATTGGCATTTATAGTAATAAGTTGTAAACATCATACTTACTTTGGGAATATATATTATATTCAGATAACCACAAAACATATATCTCTTTCTAATAACAATAAAATTATAATCAAAATAATTAATATAATTAAAATTAATTTTTTTTTGTTAGGCACTTTTCATGTATTTTTTGCACTGAATATTTAAATTATCAACAAAAATACAATTAATAATATCATTATTATCATTACTCTTATGATATATAATATCATTATCAATATAGTTTTCATTAATATTAATTTATGTCTGTCTCGTCACAAATAAAATTACTAGAATCTCAATAATACTCATCCTAGGAAAAAAGATATTTATTATGCTCGCACCTTAAAAATAGGTTTTCGAAAGTGGTTATCAATTTGCGATCACGTTTTTCATGCTTCTCTAATTTTTTCTTCTTCATCTTCATTAAGCGACGGAATAATTATTTAACTTGCCTCCATGACTTTATCATATCTAATCGATGAGTTAATTATGCATATTGTTTTTACATGTTTTATATTATAAATTCTTGAATGTCTTTTTACTGTTAAAAAACACCTTATGTTTTTTTTTTACATGAGCACATTCTGTTTCGTAATTAAAAGAAATCACTGGACTTTGATGATATTTAACATAGAGCTCTGATATCAACTAACAACAATAAAATAATATAAGAAAAACAACAAGTATAATAATACAATTTTAAAAAAATTGCATATAAACATTAAATCATAAATTTACCAGTAAATATTTATTTTTTGATAGTCTGTCTATTTAAATACTCTACAGCACTTTAAACAAACAAGAAAACAACCTAAAAAACCTGACAATAAAAGAAAAAATAAAAAAATTCCAAACAAATTATAAAAAAATAAAATAATTATACATAACATTTATTTTTCTAAACTAAATAAAAAATAAAATACAAATAACAAAGAAAAAATAATTTTCTTCAGAAACCTTGGTAAATTAAAAAACAAATTAGTAAAATTGCACGGGTAGCATTAAAAAATATTAAATAGAAGTGCAACATCGAACAATGTATAAGGGCAAGATTACACCTTTTCCATAAGTTTCGAGGTGCTCCGATTATTATTATTATTATTTTGCTGGACTTCATGTTAATCAAATACGTTACGAAATAAAATCCGGATGGCAATGACAAAATCAATAATCAAGCCATTTCCACGAAAAGCAGCATCACAAAGTAAAGAGAGTTATCGAAATCAATTTTTTTTTATCATAATTAAATTTAATTATCGTATTTAATTAAAAAATAAATTGAATTTAAATATTAAAAAAAATAAAATTTAATTCATTTTATTTTTTATATTACTATCAATATCATCATTTTATTTTTTCTAAGATTTTTTTTAAAACTAGATAAGTATTTTTAAAAAATTAATTTTATTTTAAATTATAAATAAAAAATTGAACTCTAATTTATTTTTATAATTTTTCAAGATAAAATTCATTTTTTTTTAATTCAATTCTTCACCATCAACATATCTTATTTTATTAAAACATTTTAATTGAATCAATTATAAAAGTCACATACATGCTGTTTACCAGCTCATGACTTAAAATATCAAAACAAAAAACCAACCACCAGGCTCCTCCAATCTCATCTCTACTCTCTGCCCATCTCTAACTTCCATTGCCCCACTCACGATAAAATCAGAAGCCCAGGTAGACCACTCTGCTCCATCTCTACGACAATGGCCTTTTCACTCTGCTCTACAAAGACCCTCCTCTTTCTCTTCCTCATCTCAGCCATTCCTATTGCCTTTATTATCTCCATGGAGCTCGCCAAGCCGCCAACCCACGTGTACCACTACCACAGCTCAGGGTTCTTCCGCGAGTGCGCCAAGTGGGATGATCTAAACAGTCGATTCCTCGTCTCCTTCATGGAAGGTGGCATCGGCGAGATCGCCCTCCCCGAAGATCATGGATCGTCAATGGAAGAGGCTGTTTTAAAGGAAGTCACGGTGGTTAAAGACCCTGACTTGACCGGGAACTCTTCTCTTGGTATCGTGGTTGACCGGCCGAGGAATCGCCTTCTGGTGGCGATTAGTGATGTGTTAGGGAACAATTACAACGCCCTTGCTGCTTATGATTTGTCCACGTGGGATCGTTTGTTTCTTACCAGACTTGGTGGCTCAGGCACGTTATTATCCTTATTCTTTTGCTCTTCTGGTTCCTTTCCTTTTGTTTTTTTGGCTAACCACTGTTCCTGTCCGAGTTGAATTCGATACAATTTTTTATTAATGCCATAGACGACACGCAGTCCATTTTCTCGAGGGATGTTAGGGCAATTTCGTAATTAAATAGAAAATATAATAAGGTTGCTACTTTCAAGAAGGCTCATTGTATAAAGGCGAGTTTGGTTAAGGTTAAGGTGTATTTTTTTATAAAAATTAAAATTATTTTTTTATTAATTTTTTTTAAATATTCTATATTGTTTTAAGTAAATTTTTAAAAATAAAAATATTTTAAAAAACAATAATGTAACTTTTATTTAAAAGGCAGATGATATTATATAAAATAAGACATGTATTACCCCTATCTTTGACGTAACTTGTCGAATTATATTGATTAATAGTGTATTTAGTATTGTGGTAGCTGATTTGTGTTGGGGGTT